GAGTCAGTGTCAATGACTGTCTCATGGGATGAAGTACCTTGCAATGGAAGGAATGGACCAATCACTGGATACTACCTCACATACACTAACATCTCTTCAGATACTAGTTATACTGTTAATATCACTGGAGGAGACAACAGAATGTATAATCTCACAGGATTAAGACCATATACTAACTATACTGTGAGTATAATACCTTATAATTATGACATGACTGGACAAGCTAGACAAGAAATACAATTAACTGCTGAATCAAGTAAGTCAAAGAAATATTGATTACTTAAACATGATCTTAACACAGTTCCTGGTGTGATATTTGATTTGATGCAAACAAATGCTACACTAACAGAGATCAATATCTCATGGAATCCACCTACAATACCTAATGGTATCATTACAGTATATGAGATAAGATATAGAGAGTCTACCAGTACTGGTCCATACAATATAACTAACACTACTAACACTTATTACAGTATAGTAGGATTGATACCTAATACTAGTTATACTGTTGGAGTGAGAGCATATACTAGCATTGGACCAGGAGAATGGACTAATAGAGAATACACTACTACTCAAATACGTAAGTATCTAAATTACAAAAAGATATTAGTTATCTATTATGATAACAAAGGCAGGTCTACTGCAGAGTGTTATAAACCCTACAATCCTACGCTATACCTTGTATTGATAACCAAACACCAATTATTATAAAACACAGCAAGCAATTATTAATATATGCATGCAGATATGTACAATAAATATAATAAATTTGCATGTTAGTTCTGGAGTGATGTCATTAATTCACAACAAGGATGTAAATCTATTATTTAATTTTATAGCTGTCGCTCAAATATTTTCTATAACAAAGTTCAGTTCTACAGCAGTGGTAATTGACTGGGATTCAGTTCCTGGAGCTAGTCATTATACTGTCTATTATGAGTCAACTAGTAGCTCCTCAAGAAATAAGAGACAAGTAGAGACAGGAATGAGAGTATTCCCAGGTGATACTACTGAAGGTCTAATAGGAGGATTGGATCCTAATCTGAACTACTTGTTCTCTATATCTACATCATTTAATGTTAATGGAATCATTTATGAAGGAGAGAGGACTCAACCAATGCATGCATCAGGTTTGTGTATTATGTGTTGCTGTACCTTACATCATAATTAAGCATTTTGATTTGTATGTCATTATTAATACAATATTTACCAGTTGTTCATTGTTTCTGTTCAGTTTTTCATCTTACAGTAGCAAGTACTGTATATACTACTGAAAAAAACACTGGATTGATAGTTGGTGTAACTGTGGTCTATCTACCAATCATAGTACTGGTTGTATTGGTAATTGTTCTGTACATGAAAAGTGCTAACCAAAAGAGGTAAATGAGTACTCATTAAAATTATTTTTGAAAATTGTGGTTTATAACAGAAAATCAGATAACAACATTGTATTTGAAAGCAGTCCAGCTTATGCTACAACTGAGTTTAAGGCAAAGTTAGTTACTGCATTAATTAAATATAAAATACATAATTGAATAGGTCAGACGTTGAGCCAGTGTATGAATCAACCAGGTCTGAGACTTCTGAATACGAAGTACCACCTGTTTAACGATGTACTCATCAGTTATGTACACTACTTAGTTAAGCAAATAAACATGTATTTAATGCATAGCACCTGCTACCAGTAGGTAACAATTAAATTAATGCATAGTGTGTTTGTGTTATAGCTATAAAAATATTTATGTTAGTTGAAAGACAATAGTTTAAAGTAGTCAAAGCACCTGGAGCAATAACAAGGCTTTCATACACAGGAGGAAATTTTGAGCTTAGTATATGGTCAATGTACTAAGCTGAGCTTTAAAAAAGTTCTAAAGAGCAAACCTCACCTTTTTCCCCAGAGAATGAATTGTTGGAGCTTTTTTATCTTCGTAATTTGTGTTAACCCACACAATGTATAAAAGATTGAAAAACTATCATTTCAAAATGTATGCATACACACATGTACTTTGGCTCAATTTTGGAGCAACTTTATACATTCATAAAAATCCAAACTTGATTGGGATCAGTTTAAACTTTCTACACAACACAAATGCATGTATACGTATCAGAAAAATTATTAAAATGAAGAATTCTCTCCTTTTCATTTTTGATAAAATTTGACCAAAATCTATGTACTAAAAAGTCGTAGCAGCCATATTGCTTTGGGGTAAATCCTACTTAGTAATGCTACTGTGTTACTAATATTTTATCCAGATCAAAGCTTTTGATCACCGTCGCAAGTGTAACTATAGGCTATACGCAAGTGACACCCCCTTGAAATATTGAAAAGATGTTAATGCTACAGACCTACAACTTCTCAATAGTTTACTTAATTCATTGAAGAGTTCTGTCAGTACTGGTCCTACTGGATGCTCCCATTGTGTTCTTCCATTCTTGTGACTACAAAATAGGCATAGAATATCAATAATCAATATTAAGGAAATATAAATATTTTATATCTTAAAAATAGGATTCTAGCTCTAATCATTAATTCATTAACAACATGTTGCTAACTAGTCTCGCGTAGCTAGACCCCGCCCTCTGTGCCTCCAACCCAGAGGCACAAAGGGCGGGGTCTGGCTACGCGAGACTAGTTGCTAACAAGATTTGTGGCTACTTTGATCTTTTGAGAAACTTGTTGCTAGAATAGAACTGATTTTTATGTTGATTGTTGTTGCTCCTTGACTGGGAGTGGGAGTGGCTCTCATTAAACAATAATATTTATTCATCTACTTTAATTAAGTTAAGAGTCTAAAAATATGTAAAATACATTTTTGTGTCAAACCAACTGATAATACAAGGTCACATGATTCTGTTAAATCTACAATAAAAAGAAAAATGGCATTCTCTAGGTCTTGTTTCCCATTACTCCTGCTTGTTCAACTGATGTCTGTATTTGGACAAGCACCTTTTATCCTACCCAGTAATGGTAAGAAGATGAGTTTTGGTAATTTCTAGATCTATACTCATATTCAGGTGTTCAACTGTATCTACCTTATGAGGACAGGATAATACCTGATTACTCTATGATATATGCCAGCCAGTTTTACGATATTGATCGGAATAATGATGCTAATGACATCAGTGATGCCTTTTGGTGTCAGAGTGCTAACAATGGTACTAATATTGGAGTGTGGTATTATCCTAATGGAACTGAAGTACCTTTATTTGATGAACCTTTTTTTGATCCATCAACTCCTAGACCAGTGTTCAGTAAGAGATTCAGTGGTCAGATTGCACTAGCTAGAAGAGATGGACTATCAGGATATGAAGGTTTATACAAGTGTATCATTCCTGATGAGAATGGAGTGAATCAAACACTAGTGGTTGGAGCATATACTGACACTGGATACAATAACAATGGTATGTGATGAATAATAGACAATAATTAATGTACTTTTTTACAGATGGTCCTGATGCTGATCCTACTATGCAGTTCTCTCTCCTCTCCACTAGTAGATTAGCTACTCCTCCAGTCTTCAGTCTCAGTTTCAATGTCTCTGATGGTCCTCCTACTACTGTTAGTTGTTCAGTGAATGGAAATGGAATATCTACTGAACTGTCTCGTGTGATAGTGAATGGATCAGGATCTGTTACAAGAGTGACAGTAACAGTGTCTGTGAGACTAAGAGAAGCTGGTAACTATCAGTGTACTGTATCTAATACCAGAGTAACTAATGGACCTATTAGTGGTATTAGTGGTCCTAATGCAGTTACTAGTACTTCATCATTGAATATATCAGGTTCAGTAGTGATTATTACCAATAATTATTATTCACTAATTTTCAGTATCTGATTCTCCAACTAGTTTAACAGCTACAAGATTGGGTACTGGTTTAGCTCACATAAGACTCTCCTGGTCTACTGTATCAGGAGCTACTGGTTATGAAGTCTTCAGTAAATTCTCAACTTTAACTCCTGTTGGTAGAGGCACTACTACTTCAACAACAATCAATATAACATTAGGATTGTTTAGAGGAATTACATACACTTTCTATGTAGTATCTTATAAGTCAGCTTCTCTATCTAGTGGTAATGCTTCAGTTATGTTAACAATTAGTAAGTTATCATATAAATAAAAATGTCAGTAATTGTTTGCTTTAGGTAATCCAGTAGTTAATGATTTTATGGCTACATTAATTACAAGTACTTCCATTACATTAACATGGAGTCCACCAACTACTGTAGTACCAATTAGTTATAGCATTGTTAGAGATTGTAGGAGAGTATGTGAATTATCAAAAACTGGTCATAGTGAAACATTAGTTTCATCACCACATGCTTAAACTGGTATACCTCCTTACAGTCAATGTGACTTTGTTCTTATGGGAGTATATGACATCACAGTTGATTTGACTACAGATTATTTAGTTGAAACACTTTTATCTGGTAACATAATAATTGCTATTGATAGTTATTTTGTCTTTTTCATTATCAACCTAGCTCCTACTGCACCAGTGGATGATATTATATTCTCATCAGTAGAGTCAGTGTCAATGACTGTCTCATGGGATGAAGTACCTTGCAATGGAAGGAATGGACCAATCACTGGATACTACCTCACATACACTAACATCTCTTCAGATACTAGTTATACTGTTAATATCACTGGAGGAAACAACAGAATGTATAATCTCACAGGATTAATACCATATACTAACTATACTGTGAGTATAATACCTTATAATTATGACATGACTGGACCAGCTAGGCAAGAAATACAATTAACTGCTGAATCAAGTAAGTCAATGAGATATTGATCAGTTTAACATAATCTTAACACAGTTCCTGGTGTGATATTTGATTTGATGCAAACAAACACTACACCAACAGAGATCAATATTTCATGGAATCCACCTACAATACCTAATGGTATCATAACAGTATATGAGATAAGATATAGAGAATCTACCAGTACTGGTCCATACAATATAACTAACACTACTAATGCATATTACAGTATAGTAGCATTGATACCTAATACTAGTTATACTATTGGAGTGAGAGCATATACTAGTATTAGACCAGGAGATTGGACTCATAGAGAACATACTACATCTCAAATACGTAAGTGATCTAATATACTTTAATTTTCATTATTTTATTTTAGCTGTCATTCAAACCTTTTCTATAACAAAGCTCAGTTCTACAGCAGTGGTAGCTAAGTGGGGTTCAGTTGCTGGAGCTAGTCATTATACTGTCTATTATGAGTCAACCAGTAGCTCCTCAAGAATGAAGAGACAAGTAGAGACAGGAATGAGAGTATTCCCAGGTGATACTACTGAAGATCTAATAGGAGGATTAGATCCTAATCTGAACTACTTGTTCTCTATATCTACATCATTTAATGTTAATGGAATCATTTATGAAGGAGAGAGGACTCAGCCAATACCACCAGATTATACGTACTTCATTAATAATACTCAATTCATGCATTTAGCTATCACTCCAACTCCTACTATTATATCAATCGCTTCATCAGTCATTACTATGACAAATTCATCAACAAGTAAGATAATGCATGCATAGTTTGTTTTAATAATGTCATTAATAGTGCATGTCACTAAGCATGAGTAAACATACTCATCTATTGATCCATGTTTATGTTTATATAGTTTCTTATTTTACTGAGACAACTACGATGACTACTGCAATGACTAATGGAGGAAATACTGGAGTGATAGTTGGCCTAAGTGTAGCTCTTATTATATTATTAATACTGGCTATATCTATAATTATTATACTGGTAATGATTATGCACATAAAAAGAACTAATATTAATCAGAAAAGGTAAATGGGTAGACATTCATTCCTAAATTAATTTTTCTTAATTAATAGAAAATCAGATGATGACATTGTAGTGGAGTGCAGTCCAGCTTATGCTACACCTGAATTTAAAACAAAGTTAGTTACACTATTGACTATTACATTATGTCTACACATACATACAGTACTGCTGATGATATACTAATGAAGGATAGTCCAGCATACAGTACAGTACAACAAACACAGTCAGCAATTATTATTATTATTATTTAAATTTAAGTTATTATTAATAGATTAACTGTTGAGCCAGTGTATGATACAACTAATAATGAAAATGAGACTCCTCTTCCACCACCTTCTACTGAATATGAAATACCAACAGTTTAATAGTGTATTCATCTTTTATGTACATACATTATGTATTTCTTGATGCACATCCAACACAATGTTACCAGCGGATAGTACAAAAATGTGTTTGTGTTATTTTTGATAAAATTTGACCAAAATCCCTGTAATAATTTTGAGCATAATTGGATCCAAAAGCATAAGCATACTAGGGTTAAAATAAAAAATTTTGAAAAATGTGCTGAGAAATGCAATAAACAGGCCCTTGCACTATAAATTGACTATTTTTCATTGTTTAAATACCACATTTACATTAAGTTAGTAATGAGCTTAATGCATGCATCTACTTGCGAACAATGAAAGAACTGGAGGAGTTATTTTTGTACTGTAGATCTAGCATAAGCAAGATGGCACCCTTAACTAGATCTATATGTTTATGTTTGCATGGATTGCGAGTAAACGTAGCAATACTGTTCATTAACTTGAGTGCATAATCAATGATTTGTAATAATTATGTCCATGATACATTGTTGAAGCATAAAATGAAGTGAAATAGATTCAATGCAATCAGCTAATGTCTAATAGTATGTATAGCATAAGCTGCTTTATTGCATTGGAGTTCCAGGGATATTTATAATTACTCGATTTGGAGTTCTGAGGACTGCAGATGAGCTTCTTAACTGAGCCCCTTCACTATACAACTCAGTACCTCCACTGCTTTTCACAATGATACGCCTTGAAGATGAAGAACTAGGTTTATCTTCTCCTTTTAGCCACCATGTGGTCATTTGTCCTTTCCCTTTGATTTCAAGAGTGCCACGACATTCCAACTGAAACCCACCGACTTTCTTGAGCAACTGTGCTGTGTCATTGCTGCAGTGTATTTTCATTGCTAATGAAAAAAACTTATTAATAAAATTATACTGTAGATGTACTATAAATGTACAATAATTATCATAGTATGTACATGTACTGTATATGCATAATTTAATGTGTACCTTCACTGTTAGATTCCATTCTTGAAGCAGTATTGACAGTATCACCAAACAAGCAATATCTAGGCATCTTGAGGCCCACTACACCAGCACATACAGGCCCAGAGTGGATCCCAATCCTTATTTTTAGTTCAGTGTTTGGTTTGTGTGGTATTACAAATATCTTGGAAGCTGCCAGTAATTGTAGGGCCATTCGTGCAATCTCTCCTGCATGCTTATCACCATTAACTCTTGGCACTCCTGAGACAACCATATCTATAGTGTATAATACAGAATATACATGTACATGTAAAACATACATGTACAATTTTGTACTTCATTAAATAAAGATTCAGTAAAATTCATTTGTACTCATATACATGTACATGTACAGTAATAAAGATTATTATTACCATTAATTGTTACACTGATGTACATGTACATGTACAGTACATGTACACTTCAGTGACACTTACATGCATCTCCTATAGTCTCCACTTTATATACATCGAACTTGTCGAGTATGTCATCAAATGTTGAATACAGCTCATTTAAAAAAGTAACAACTTCCATTGGAGAGCTTGCACCAGCCAGTGTTGTAAAACCAACTATATCACTGGAATACAAATAATAATCATCACATGTATTAGTTTTGAAAGAAGAGCTGTGGACCCTTCCTTTTTCTGTTCTCTTCTCTCAATTCATTATATTAATGTATTTGGCCCTCCAAAATTACAAGACGTATAAAAGCCTGTTTGTACAGCATACTTCAATCATACATCTTAATGAACAATGTATATGTACATGTACATGCATGCATAGCATTACTATTAATACACATGTACATGTACCTGAAATAAATGGTTACTGATGAGTATTGCTTAGCTGAGGCTGGTCTTCCTTGTCTGAGTTCATCAGCAACAGCTTGTGGTAACATGGTGTACAATAGCTGCTGTGTTTTCTTCTGCTCAATAATTAGTTCTTGAGTCCTCTCCCCCACCAATGCCTCCAGATGCTTTGAATACTTCTCCATCTGCCATGTACATGTAAATAATATAAACCAAATTATTATGTTTTATTATTATTGCAACCACGTACATGTAGCTTCAAATTTTTGTGGTCAAATATTTTTATGATTTTGTGAAATTTTAATTAATAATTAGAAAATTTTTAATCCCAAAAAACTTTTGGTCGCCATTGTGATAACTGAACATGTGTTGGTTAATTCCTAAAAACTGTTTTCACAAAATAACCCAATTTAAAAATACCAAATACATGTAATTCATTGTACATAAAAGTATAGCAATGTGTACATCCATTATTCCTTGAATTACCATTTTCATCATTGTGTCCACTGGACTCTCTTTGTTTGGATTCATTCTCAGAATTGATTTTTTGATTTGATCAAATGACGGGCGGTTACCAGGTACCTCATCCCAACAAGACTCTATTAACTAGAATAAGAATAAGCAACAAAATCACATGTGCATGTACACATACATGTACATGTACATGTACATGTACATGTATATAATAATTATGGTACATCTACTGTATACATGTACATGTTATTATTCATGTGCAATGTACATGTACATGTGTTACACAAGTTCTGTGTACATGCATGCATAATACTATCATTATCATTATTATCATATTATTATTATTAATATTTTTCATTATTATTGTTGTTTTACTCACTTCTTGGTATGTGCTTGGACAAGGACATCCTTCCTGTGCCAAATCAGGTAGTCTTGGACGTCCAGTTGTTGTATCAATAAATAACTCTTCCTATAATGATGTTTATAGTAAAAATAATGATGATCATTTTGTTGAGTTTCCTTACACTATAAGGGTCAATTCTGGTGGCTGTCTCCAGTAAAATAATAGAAAAACTACAAGAGAATTTTTGTAAAGTAAAATCAATAAATAATGTAAATATTTGAGTCATAATAAATAAAAAATTATTGCTTGTAACATACACTGTACATGTTCATGTACATGTAATTATAATAATAACATACATGTACATATATAAGTGGTTTCTTTGAGGGTTGGAAATTTTGCGAATTTTGCGGATTCCCTCCTGATTCGCGAAAATGAAATCTACAAAAAATCAATTTAATACAGTACCCACATGGCACACGTGGTAGAATTCGCGAAATTTAAATCTGCAAATTAGAATTTTAGCAGATTTCGCGAAATATAATTCCCTCGAAAAAAACCACTTATACAGTAGCCTAATTTCTAATGTACATGTACATGTACATTATACATGTACATGTACATGTTATATTACTATACCTATAGACATTGCCAGAGAGTGTTGGTATGTAATAAGTTGAGTCCCTTTCTTCTGGTGGGAAGAAAACAAGACACCTCTTTCTTCTCTCTCCCTCTTCTGAGGCTCTGTCAGAATCACAAACACGCAACGAAGGAATTCCATAATCTGTAGTGAGTGTAACAGGAAAAACAAGTACAACATACTGTACATTGCACTCATATTTTTACTGGTACATTTATTTTACACTGAGGGCGTGTGTGTACGTGCATATGCACATGTACCTGAACGTGTACTTGTATCAGCTACTATGGTATGCATGCTATTCAACAATTCACTGAAAGTCACTTTTACACACAGTCGTCACTGTTACATTCATGCATGTACATGTACATGTACAGTGTACATGTACATGTACGTCTATGCACAAAATAATTAACCTGTAATTTTGACGACCCAGCGATCATCGATGACACAGTTTGTTGACATCAAGCGATGATGAACAATCCTTTTAGAGTGAAGGTAAGCTAGTCCTCTAGAAATATCAGTAACAAACGAGAACCTGAACCCCCAGTTTAATGGAATATCTAGAGAAATACATTATACATGTCAGGGTTCTATCTAGGAATTTTTGTTTGGGGAGGAAGCCCAGAGAAGTTGACCAGGGGGGGGGAGGGAAGGTTGTGTACATACATGTATGTACATGTACAGTACATGCATGCATTTACAGAAGTACACAGGGGGGGAAGCTTGAAGTTTTGGGGGGGGAAGATGAAGAGTTTGGGGGAGAAGCTTTCCCCCCACCCCCCCACTGGATAGAACCCTGCATGTACAAGTAGATGGTAGAAATGTACATGTACAAGTATAATGTACATATACTGTACATGTAGATGGTAGAATCAATCTGAACATAATCATAATATAAATTATTAATTATAGTAAATTAGAAACAAAACACACTTCATTTCCTACCATCATTCTGTAGGACATCATTTAAGCTTCCCTTTGGGCAATACTCTGTTAAAATAATAACATTTTCAGAACTTCTTAGAGTTGCTCCAATGAATCTACACACATTAGCATGATCAAGAGACCTACAATGTCCATTATAAGGTAAGCATAATGTACATGTACATGTAATGCACCTTATTTGCATGACTTCTTTTCTGAGTGTTTTCGTTAGCTGTAATTCACGACTCCTATAGTTTAGTTTCTTTATGGCAACAGTTTTACCTTCACTATAATGAATAATAATAATAATAATAATGATAGAGTGTTCTCACTAGACTCCAGTTGGTATGAATATTTGTCTATTTCCATTTAAATTAAAGACACTACCTTGTCCAGACACATTGTCAGTTTCTCCATGAATCCTTGAATTGATCAAACTCATCATACTACCTACAAGTCAAGGAATTGTATGAACATGATAATAGATATCTATAGTGTACATGTAAATTGTACATGTACATGTATGTATTGGTGTATGTACAGTATATGTATAGTACATATACATGTACATGTACATTGTACACGTACAGTGAATAGTGTATGTACAGTAGTACCTTTATCATTGCCTTCCCCTTAATGTGGTGTGTGACAGATGGAGAGAGAAAAACAGGAAGAGGAAAAAATAATCATACAATGTACAGTACATGCACATGTACATGAGTATATAGTAGGAAATGAGAGAAGGGTATAGAATAATCACAAATATTATTAATAACAAATCAAAGCTTACAGAGTCTCAAATCAGAGTAATCGATGATCCAGCTCTCGTCATAAAACAACTTTTGCTTTTGATAGTAGAACCACTGACAACATTAAGGAGAGAAATAATAAACAACAACTGGACTGCCCTCACCTCTCCCACTCACACTATAATTACTATCTATAATATTGCTTACCACTATGAATAGTATGATGGTTAGACCAATAGCAAGGAATATAACACTGCTAAGTGAGCTTGAGAGAGCCACCACATAGCTAGGCAGTGATGCACAGCAGTCAACAGAGCATGAGCTACAGTCTTCTGAATCACTGCATCTCCCATCACCACAATCTATGCACATTACACATGTACAGGTAAAGTATTAGAAGAATGGTGTAGTGTTACACTATAATAGTATGCAAGTATGCTGCATTTTTAATAATGAGAGAGCATGCATAATTATGCTTACAGTGATCAGTGACATATATACTCTTCTGTATGGCCATTTGCATCTCTCCCAATTTAACATGTGCTATCATGTGGTTTATTTCAGGGACTTCAATGAATACTTCGGCAGTGAATGTGTCATTGATGTTGCCAAACGTTGCAATCGTGTGTGTCGACTGAACCTGATCATTATCTACCCACGGACCACATATCTGACTCTACAAAAATTTATAAAATTGTCATAGTGGCGGAAGTATAGATAACAATTAATTTGCGTGTGCATTTGTTTTATACACAGTAATAATTTGATACGCTATTTGTTTATGGCTGGTCCTTTTGATGGTCACAGCCTAATAGTTGTTATATACTATCATTTTTAAACAGCAACTTACCTGCCATACGTGTAGCATAAAAAAATAAAGTTAAAACAACCTCTTTGTGTACATTAATGCTATAGCTGTAAATTTTGAAGTCCATGCATGTTCATTTGAAAGAAATGTCTTACCGGCTTGCCACAGTTTCCAGGATGACACACGTGTATATTAGCATGCCACACGCAGCAGTTCTCTTTAAAAGACCTCAAGGACGCCATTTGAGTTGGGCAAGGTGATGAGTGACAGAAGGTCCTTAGGTCATTTGAGCTGTTGATGTTATAAGAGCTCAAGTGAAAACCAAAGAGAGACTCGTAGAAGTCATCTGTAGCCTCAATGTGGTAGCTGACATTGAATCGCTGGCCAACTCTTACTTCAGATGGGGGCTCTTCATTCCAAGCAAGGGAAATATCTATCATAATAATAACAGTAGCATTGGAAATTGAAATAATAGCAACTAGAATAACTAGACTTAGCTCACTATAATAACAATAAACAAGGCCTAGAAGTATTTTTATAAAAATAGTTGAATACTTGTAGATTCAATATTTACCATGACAATCAATAGGATCAGGATTTGAAACTGATGCATTGCCCCACCAGCAATGGAACAGAACATTATCACCAATTTGGTGGTAACACAAACCACTTGAGAACATGCACTAGAAACAGGAAAATAACAATGGCAAAAAATAAAACTGAGCAGCCAATTTGCTGTTGACAACTTGTGGTCTGGCTTAGTGTGGTTGAGCAGGCCAGACCATTTCCAGCCTACAGTCATTGGGGTGCCAATCACTGTAGGCAGGCTGGCTGGCTCGGGAATGTCTAGCTTGACTGGGCAACATTATGCAGAAAGCAGAGAGACTCTCAACTTCTGGCAAAAGTTGCCTGGCCACCTCAAAGGTACTGGCAACAAAGTTGCTCAGTGTACGAGTATGACTGAATGATCATTGTTACACTCACTATTAAAGCGAATAAGGAGCATAATCCAGCTCGAATAATCACTGTATTAAGTATCTTCATCGTTAAAGAAGTAGAAATAATAGCTGCATCGAAAAAAACAGCACAGTTTTACGGAATCGATTTGAATCATTACAGCGTCTTTCAGCCCACTTGGATCACAGAACAACCTTCCGTATGCAAGACACTCCCTCTGTCCCAACTTAAAAGTACAGGTAGGTGTGGATACGGAAGGGAAAATGATCCAAGCATAGTATCTATGATCCAAGTGAAGTGAAAGACGCTGTATCGAAAATTTGATGCAATTTTCATCGATCTATTGACCACGCCCATTTATTAAGATTAAATAACTAATTCTAATAAGTAATTGCACTGTTGAACTGCAAGAAAGAGGCAACTGACCAGTTGTTAGCTCAGCCTACCCCAATAAGAAGAGAAACAAGGCTTAAGAGCATGGAAATTATCTTCTTTCATATCCAGTACAGTGCCAAAATCATTAGCCACACCCCCATATGAAGGTGTGATTATCGTATCGTTAATAATCGATATTTCCTCAAAAAGTCCATTATCGATCGTTATCGAAAATTAAGAAAATTGGCCATATATCGCCCATCATATCACTACTGGAATGTGGGCGTCGACTAGCGTATTTTAATAGCTGGGCGTGGTTTTAGACAATAATTGTCAAAAATCGAGCCAAATAAAATGGCGTCGGTTACACTTGATTTTGAAAATGAAAACTTTTTAGAGCTGGTTTCTGAAGATGGCTTGATAATACTAGCAAAGTGACCAAACAACTTTTTGTATTGTAATATTTTTTTCTAGGGGGCTAGGACTAGATAGACTTTTTATGAAGTTTCTTAAATTGCATTCAGATCCTCGTAATCTGGTACTTGTCATTGGTTCCTCTACACTATATGAAGTGAGTATAATATAAAAATAATTATTACAGTATTGTGGGTGATTTTTGAGGTGCTAAAATTTGAAAAATGCTGTTTTGAACCATTATGTCATTTATGTGCATTAATAGACTCTTAATATTACCCTCTCTCTATGTAGTAATTTATATATTTATAGGATCATTTTAAGAATGATATTGCTGCTTCTTTAAGTAATAATATACAGCAGATACCACGATCAGTTACAAATGAAATTCCAGCAAAAGAAAGGTATGCATACCACATGTACATATACAATTATAATAACACATTTTACATGCATATATACATTGTTTGCTGTAATCTGTAATTATTTTCCTCATATTTCTAGTCTTACTAATTTGTCAGTATACATGTACATGTACACGTATATTAATTACTATATTTCTATAAATTTTTTTGTTTTTGTTATTTTTAGGGAAGAGCTCTATTTAAAAGGTGGCGTACTTTTTGTGACATCAAGAATATTAGTAGTTGATATGCTAAGAAAAGTATGTGTACTGTCACGCCCTCACTCTCTTACTCCTTCCTTTTCTCCCTCCCTCTCCCTCTCTCTTTTTCCTCCTCTCTCTCTCCCTCCCTCTCTATTCTTCTCATTCTTCATCTATTAGGTATGTCCTGTTGATAAAGTTGCTGGTATATTAGTGTACAATTGCCACAGGTAAACTCTACAGCTGCAGTTTACATAGATACATGTTTGTACTTTGTACTGTACATACCATGCATGTACTTAAAATTTGTATCATAGTCAAGTACATGTATATTAGTATTAGTCTACTACAGAGCATGTTAAGCTTGTAGAATGTAACGTTAAGCTATTTGTAATCTTAACATGTAATGTTAAGCTGTTTACTCTTTATACATGTTTATGTAAATTTTTCTTTTGAAAATAGTACTACTACATGTACATGTACAATTCAAATTAAACTTTGAACTATAAAGCACAGAATATAAGACTGTATGAGAAAAAGAGGGAGTTACATGTTTAGTACACCAGGCCATCCAAAAATAATAAAATTATTACTATTATTTCAGGAGTTATTAATTTTTTAAATTTTATTAATGCAGGGTCACCGATTCTTCCAGTGAGGCGTTTATACTGAGACTTTATAGAGAAGGAAATAAGGTAATGAATAGACAAGGAAAGATGAAAGATACATGTACATGTAGTACACATGTACATGTACACTGATTGCGTATTTTAATTTTAAAATTAAAATTTTAGATTTACATTTTTGAATGCTTTAGACTGGTTTTATTAAAGGTTTTAGCGACTGTCCAGAGCATTTCACAACTGGGTTCTGTCAGCTAGAAAGGATAATGAGAAACCTTTTTGTGAAAAACGTCTATCTCTGGCCACGGTACTGAATAAACCTTCATCAATTTCCATTCTCTCTCTCTCTTTCCCTCTCTTTTTCTCTGCCTTTCTGTTTCTTTGTCTCTGTCTCTGTTTCTCTATGTCTCTCTGTCTCTCTCTATTTGTTTGTCTGTGTGTGTCTCTCTCTCTTTCTGTTTCTCCCTCTCTTTCTCTTCCTCTCTCTCTCCCTCTCTCTTGCTAGCTAGGTTTCATGCTGTTGTAAATTCATCTCTTGAAAGGCATCAGGTACTTAATGTACATATTGTAAATGTAATACTTCTACACACACACTCTTCCTTATATATCAATACATAATGTAGCCTGATGTTATTGAGCTGAGGCAGCAGATGACTCCTTCAATGACAGCTATACAACACTCAGTCCTTGAGATAATGAAAGCATGTGTACGGGAACTGAAGGAAACCAACTCACTGGTAAGAGATAGAGAGAGATGGAAGAGATTAATAAAGAGATTAATAAAGTATAGGGGGAAAATTGGCGAAGTTTTATATTGGCTGTTTGTAGATTAATGATAAATTGCCAAAATGAAATCTGCTTTTTAGCTTTATTTTTATGTGGCTGGCTGGCTGCTAAACCCACCACCAATACATGTACATTGCAATCTTAATACTAGAAGAATGTAAAACATTTAAAGGGGCTTAGCCCCTGAGCCTCGCTATTGTTGTGCTGTAATCAACCTTCTTGCTGCTAGAGTGGTGAAGTTTTTACAAGTAGATAGCAGTTTTGTCTTATCCTGCTGATTAGTCTTGCTAGCAAAACTACCTGCTGATCGTTTGCTGCAAAAGAGCACAGACTTGCAGATAGCTGCCATTTTTATTTCATTGTGACCACACCTGCTTTCAATAAAGATTAGGCTATTTAAGTTTAATAATAGTTAGATGATCCTACTGCCCCTACAGACAGATGTTTTCTCATCTTAGTGGGCTTCGTCTAATTAAATGCTCCCAAATTTTCCTACTATACATTGTACGTGTATATGTACGACATTTATTAGTACTTTTCTTTTAGTTGGAAAGTGATGAAATCACTATTGACAATTGTCTCGGAAAAGGTTTCGAACAAATCATTAAAATTCAGTTTGACCCAGTGTGGAACCAACTGGTAACCACACCCATCCCCACACCCACACTGTTACTGATTTTATTTGTAGAGTCACAAAACAAGGCAGCTGGTTTATGATTTGAAAATGCTCAAAACTCTTTTATAGTAAGACTAGTACAGTGTTTCTCACATACATGTACATGTAGTGCTGAGATTCTTGTCAGTGGGTATTCATACCGTATAGCAAGAAATTTTAGAAGGAGTTAAATTTGGTGAATTGTTAAATTTTAGTGATTGGTGAATTTTAATTCAGCAAATTTGTAGCCATGTGCCATTGAGCATGTGCATAATGGCTCAAAATGGCTGATTTTAATTTTGGCAAATGGCTATTAAAATGCCAAATTTGCCAAATTTAGCTACCTCCAAAATTTTCTTCTATACGGTAAATTTTTGAAATTTTACTTATACTATTAGTGTAGAATATTAAATTTTATTTTGTAAAAAATGGCTAGAAAAGAATTATTCATTTTGATCATTTTTTGATGCATATACACAACATGTACAGTACATGTTAGTATGTACACAGAAATGTTGAGCTGATTTTGATCAAATTTGGATTTTTTTAATGAATTTATGAAGTTCTAAAGTCCATGTATTGTACATGTACATGTACTTGTAGTACTTTTGAGCTACACGTATATGTTGTTTCTTGTCTAGCTCACTTACATGTAGTATATCTTGTGAGAAACCCTGCTAATAATGGTTGTTGTGAATTATGGTGTACTCTGTATTTAAATTTTCAAGTTATTTTAAATTCTTTGTTACCCTAATTAATTTATGTTGAATTGATTTTTTAGTTTTTTGACTCAGTATGATTGTGTGACATTCTACAGCTATTTACTTTCACTGAGGTAATCCCATTTTTATTTTTATGATGTATCATTTTGTCTCTCCTGTATCTTCTTTATAGGTCAAACAAGAAAGGGAGTCCAGCATTTTCTGAGCACTCTCCGTGGGTATTCATGCCAGCAGTTAACACATTATTTGTTGTAAGTCATACATTTACTACTACATGTACATGTACGTCTACATGTACATGTACATGTACTACTACTTTAGTGACAGACAACTTTGTTGCCAGTACCTTGGAGGTAGTGAGGCAACTTATTACCAAAAGCTGAGAGTCTCTCTACTTTCTGCCTATGTTACCCAACTACATGTACATGTAAATGTACAATGTACATCAAAGGTCTGATATGTTAAGTTTTATGTATAACATCTTTAATGGTACATACATGTACATGTACATGTGCATTGTAATCATAGTTAATGCGCTACATGTACTGGTACATGTACATGTACATCATGTAAATTACGTACATTTTTAAAACTATAATTTTTTTTTCTTCAGAAAGCAAGAGAGAGGGTGTATGGAGAAGAGGAAGCCTCAGGGACTAAGTCAAAATATTTTGTTGAGTCGCTCTCTCTAGAAGAGAGTCCAAAATGGAACCTTCTCTCCATGATACTCAGAGAAGTGAGAGATGATAAGAAGAATAGAGAGGAGAAGATAATAATTAAAGAGGAAGAGAATAAAGGAATGAATGAAGACAGCAATGAAACTCACCTTCAAGTAGATGGAGGAATTTTAATAGTTGCAAATGATGAAAGAACGTGTTATCAGTTACGTCAAGTAAGTCACCAAAACCTGTTTGACTAGTTTGACTGGTTTATTGTTATAGTATTTAAGTGAAGGAGGAAAGAGTTTATTAGAGAGACAATACACTAGACTATTGGGAGACAAAAACACTGTGGATGTTAATGGTATAGTGAATCTCACACTGTACATTGTATGCATGTAAATCTTCTTTGTAGCTTTGCCTAAAGAAATGCAGAAGAAGCTTCAGTCAAAGGTAACTGTAAGCAATGATTGTTGAGAGAAGAAGAGAATCCAGTGACTGATAGAGGCCTCATGAGAAGAGATAGAAAGAGAGATTACTGTACATGTACATGTACATGTAGATAGAGAATGACATAACACAATATTTATGAATATAAACTGTCTCTACATGAATCTTAATTTCTCTTTTAGAAAGGTAAGAATCCACCACCAGCCAAAAAGGCTAAAGTAATTGAAGAGGATAATACGTTGACTGATAAACCTGATGAAGAGAATGAGGAGGACATGTTCAGTGAAGATATTTTTCAAGTGAGCCCGTAACCAGTTTAGCCAGTTTTCATAATCGGTTTTGAAGAATTTTGAGATCCCTCTTACTGAAAAACTAACAGTGGAAGCTTCGAAACAGCTTGATGCTGATTCCGAATATTTCGAATTGTTACATGACCCCATACTGATACATTCATTCAATAGTTCAAAGTAAGCACCTTAAGCCATTACATTTATAATGTACATGCATATGTACACGTATAGTTATGTACATGTATTTGTATATGTATCATTTTTCATTTGCTTTATAGAAATACTTATAATTTTACGAGAGTTTTACACAGTTTTAAACCAAGTGTCGTTATATTGTATGATGCTGATATAAAGCTAACTAGACAGATAGAGGTACTGTAATTATTAAATTTATTTTTAATTTCTAATCATTGTCACTTTCTCCTCTCTCTTCCATCTTTTTTTGATAGATATTTAAAGCTACCCGTCGTGAGATTCCCCTTAAAGTATATTTCCTAGTTTATGATAGCTCTGTGGAAGAACAGGTCTGAAGAAGAAGGAATAATGATGTGACAATTGTTTTTATATTTATAGATGTACCTGGACTCCATTAAGAGAGAAAAGCAAGCCTTTCAGCAACTTATTCAGCAAAAAGCTGTGAGAGAAAGAGACAGAGAGGGAAAAAGATAGAGTGGAGAGAAAGGAGGGAGGGGGATGGGAAGAAAGAGAAAGCTGAGAGAGGAAAGGGAGAGGAGAGAACACTTGTATGTATAATTTCTTCCTATAGCATATGGTTATACCAGCAGATAGAGAAGGAAGAGGCACTGGTAATACATTGTTACAGAGAGGAAGTGGAAGAGGAGAAGAGAATGGCAAGTCAACTAGCACCAGAAAAGCTGGAGGAGCCACAAAACAAGAAGAAACAAGACCAATTGTAAGCTCACACAGCAACATAACTATTTTTCTCATTTAAACGTTATTTGCATGTATCATTTAAAGGTTATTGTTGATATGAGAGAGTTCAGGAGTTCTCTTCCATCAATGATACACAAAAGAGGAATCGACATCATCCCTTTGACAATAGAAGTAAATAATGATGATGATAATGACAATAATCACAGTGTTGTTTGTTGTGTTGTTGTAATTATAAATTTGTTGTTAAGTGTACAGTAATATATTTGTAATTGGGGTGAGCATGGGCGAGCCCCACAAAGATGAGTCATGTTTGTTTGTATGTGTATGCATAGATATTATACACGGAACAGGATTGGAAACAGGATCACGTGAGCGCATTATGCATTGAAACCAACCTAGTTTGCTGGGAACTGGTTAATTCATGGTTATTAAAAGCGAAATTTGAATTCCGTTATGAGATAAATGGAGATTGTTAAAAATACTTAGTGGGACTCTCTAGACTATACCTGGCGGTTTTATGACAAAGTATCTAGTTCTATGGCTACTTCTTAACATCCTACAGTGGACTAAGATGTTTGTTACAGTGCGCATCTGTTAGTTTGAGAGTAATGGCATCCTGGCTTAAGATCTCTTTGTTTTGGTGCGCCATAATTTTTTGAAACATAAGGCCTTTGCTATTGCAGTACATATCTACCAAATTTCTTGAAATTATGGTACAAACTGAGTGTCCATCAGCTGCAACAACCATTACTGTCTTGCCACCATTGATAGATGATGAAGAGAATGCACTTCGCTATGTTGCTGGTTTCATGATCAAGAAGAATTCACATTCACCTCATAATAAAGACATAGTCGTGTGCCTTAGCAATTTGACGACCGAAGATGATGATCATGATGACTACCTATTATACACAAAAGCATGGATAGAAAAAATAAATCGTGGAGGGTTGTACATTATCAGTGATGATGTGTAATTGGTTTTTAAGCAGAACTTGAGCTCAACTAATGACTGAAGTTGATCCAGTGAGACAACTAATAACTTGGTTTTGTTCACATTGAAAACTTGAAATGAATAAAATGAACTATTAAAAATTTAATTAGCTTAATTATTTTCACGAAGCTCGCTCATGCTCGCCCCGCAATTTTTTTAACATTGTCCTAGTTAAATTTAATTTTTAGGTTGGTGACTATATTCTGACACCTGATATATGCATAGAAAGAAAGTCAGTGAGTGATCTCATTGGGTCATTGAATTCAGGAAGATTGTATGCACTCATGTTACTATTAATAGAACTCATTGTGCTATTTTTAGATATAATCAAGTAAAGGCAATGACACAGCATTATCAGAAACCAATCTTACTTATTGAATTTGAAGAAGGGAAACCGTTTTCGTTACAAGTACACCTTTTATCATGAGGATTTTAAACATATTTTTTTGTTTCTTTATTCAGTCCATTGTTGCTGTATCAAGTGATGTCTCCTCACAGAATGTTGCTTCAAAGCTAGTTCTACTCACCATTCACTTTCCCAAGGTATCACAATTTTTATTATTTTAACAAAAATAATAATGAAGAAAAAAATTAGAAGTATGTACTTAAAGGTTGTCTTTTTCTGTTTTTTTAGTTACGTATTTTGTGGTGTCCTACTCCTCATTTTGCAGCCGAACTTTTTGAAGAATTAAAAGTACAGTCAATTCAGGGCTTGAGTAAAATAAATTAAATAATGTTATAAATGCTAATAGTTTATACAGTACTTTGTTTAGGCTGGTCAGGCTCAGCCAGATCCTTCAACTGCTGCTACAATTGGAGGAGAAGTAATGGAGACAAGAGAAGATGTGACCATAAAAGAAAAGAAACCAACTTACAACTCATCCATTGAAGTACATACTGTACATGTACTCTTATGACTTGAATCCTTAACCTTTTTATTACAGAATTTTTTATTGAAGTTACCTGGTGTGAACTTTAAGAATTACAGGTTTGCCTTTTGAGTGTGTGGCTTTTGTTTTATACATGTATTCAACATCTATGTGACCATTCTTCTCTATTTATGTGCATATTAATGGTATATAATGTATTTTTGTTGCAGATACATAATGAATGAAGTAAAGGACATGCAAGAGTTAGTCAGTTTAAGTGAGAAAGGACTAGAGAAGATACTAGGGAACGATACTAATGCACAGCTACTCTGGAATGCACTGCACACTAAACAATCACTCACACACTCATCATCTTTAAAATCAAAGAAAAGGAATTTTATTTAAATTTTACGTGTCAATTCCATGCATTAATTTTCAGTTCTGTACCATAATTTCACAGGACTACCACAGGTTCATTCACACCATTGACCACAGCAGGTGCCTTTTCTGATAATGGCCGGTGGATTGCCACATGGAAGGAGCAAAGAAAGGCTACGGTTTATGTTACCGGCAGAGATTCAGTTTGGATATAACAAGTAAGTCCATCTTTGTCTGTTCACTGTGTTATTGTGTTCAGTACTACTTTGATTGTGGACTTGTGGCTAATAGACACTAGTTATTATGTGTATACATATAATATTGGCCATACTAGGTATTACTGTGGCAATAAGGTTTGGGTATCAAATGAAGCAGGAACAGAAGCAGTGAGACAGCCTGATCGATCTACCAACAATGGTGTCGTATATTCAGAGAAACCTGTCAAAGGACGAGTGGAGTTTGAAGTAGAAATAACATCACACAGTTTAGAGTACAGTGGGAACATACGACTAGGCATAATGTCACACAAACCATCTGAACCTTTTGATTTGTCAAAGATACCTTTTTCCTGTACCTGGAAAGCTCCATACCACTGCATATGGGCTGGAAGCCTACTGTACAACAACATTGCTAGAAGCATTGCTCCACGATCTGAGGGACGTTCTTATGGTAAGAAAAGTCTTGAAGACCTCAGAAAGGGAGATAGGGTTGGTATCTTATTAATGGAAAATGGTGAGCTGCATTTTCTCATCAATGGTGAGCCTCAGGGCAAAGCAGCTAGTGGGATATACGAACGTGCTTATGATGTGTATATTGTTGTTGATCATTTTGCTGACTGTAAAGGCCTTCATACACGAGGCAACATGTTGCTAGCAACATTTGTGGTTACTTTGATCTTGTAAGCAACATGTTGCCAGAAATAGAAAGATGTTCTATTTTTGGCAACATGTTGCTTGGTTGCTAGCAACAAGTTGCCTCGTGTATGAAGGCCTTAAAGGAACACATATCACTAGAGCAATTGAATGTTAATTTTTTGCTAAAATTAATAATGCATGCAAGTTTGCCACAATGCTGTAATTGAATTTTTTGAAATAATAATTATAATGCTAAAATTGTGACACAAAGATAAGTTTCAGTATTATGAATTTAGACATTAAACGAAGATTATAACTGTATAAGTAATGTAAGTCCAGGCATAATCTTTCAATAGTTATAAATTGTACAAAAAGTGGTAAAAAATGTTAGAAAATGTTGCTGTACAATCACTTCATGCAAGTATGTATAGGTCACATTATATCTTCAAACCTCCCTGATCCTAAGTAGAACTATCTTCTTGATCCTCACTAAGTATCATTGTAATGGTGTCATTGATATCATATCCACACTCTCTCAGATAATCTTTAAGCTTTGCGTTAGAATGATCCGGAAACAAAGTCTTCAGCTGATCAACAAGTTCATCAACCTTTACAACCTGACGCACGGGAAAACTAGTCTCCTCTGTACGACCGGGGCTCAGTGTAGCTTTAATAGTCACCACAGCTCTACGCTGGGTAGTGGAAGGCTGGGTTTTATTGAAAGCCTGTGCTGGTGATGAGTGATACTTGTCCAGCTGCTTCCACTCTCCACTGCTAACTGTTTTCTTTCTTGCATGATCCTCAGAAGAGAGCATCTGTATTGGGTTGAGCATGGACTGTGTGGCTATCTCTCGTTGCATGTATCTCTCCTGCTCTTCCTTGTTACTCCATTGATCGGCAGTTCTTGAATTACCTCCTCTCCTCCTTGGTTGCCTCTCTTCCTCTTCCTCTGAGGACCATCTTTCTTCTTTTTCTACTTCATAAGGTATATCAAGGCTGCCACTGTGATGTTGTTCATTAAGTCTCTCTGGATCATAAAAACCGATTGCCTATAATTTGAAGGAGTAGCATAAAGCCTAGTTAAAAAAATACTAATGCAGTTCCAAATTTTGCAAAAAAATAAAAATAAAAATAAAAACTCTATTCAATTTAATTTTTGCAATTTCAATTGTCTGCTGTGGTACCTTGTACCACATTAAAATTGGTTATTTTTATAATTTTCTGCTAGAACTATTATACATAAAGTAAATCAAAAATTTGATGCTTACTTCAAACGGTAGCTTTGGTTCCTCCCTGTAAAGTCCAACATTTTTAAAAACTTCGACTAACTGACTCTTCCTCAGTAAATGAGAGAGCACAACGTACTATGAGTACAAGATTAATTAATTAATATCCGCTACTAATGACAGGGGCTTACTCTGCTGGGGTACACTAGTATAAGACTGTGGAAGCTATAAGGTTCTGGTTCATTGACTGAAACTAGCTGATCGTATGCCTCCAATTCTAGTCTTCTTCTACAATAAAATAAGTAATTTTTAAATTATTGTCTCTAATATATCACTTGTTCACAACTTATTCACACTTTAAGCACAAAAATAACAACTATTGTATTCCTCAATTCATATGTAAGGCTTACATACATACATTCAAGTCTATTTTTATAGACACTCACCCTATACCATCAATGAGTTCAATACCAACAGAGTCAATGATGATCGTACCAATGACAGTCTGATAGCCATTACAAAGGAAGCATGTATACTCGTTTCTCATGTCAGGGTTGAAGTCAGGATCAATGGCAGGGGAATAAGAGCTAGGGGAGCCGCTCCCTCTCTCGTAAGACGTAGAATAGTTTTCATTTGACGCCATGTTTGCAAAAAATATTAGGCCACGGCCACACCCATATGGCATAAATGACCACGCCTCTAAGTGTTTTAATTAGAATAATTACAACCGGCAACAATGTCCTCTCTCCCTTCTCACTCGAGATATCAGGATTTTATTGATGTTAGTGACGAGGAACTAAGTAAGTTTGTATTTTGGAAAAGTAATGGATGTCTTTAATTCCGCATTTCAATAGGTATTTCTGATTTTAATTCTGTTTATCAGTCAGTCAAACGGCTCTCTGCTCGTTGGAAACAGATAGCTATTTCATTGCTTCTCGGAATAAATACTATCAACCTTATAGAAGCTAACTGTCGTGCAGATCCTACCTATTGTTTGCAGAAAGTACTCGAGTATTGGCTCAGGAAAGATTATGATTATGAACGTTATGGTATCCCTTGCTGGAGAAAAGTGTGTGTAGCTGTTAGAGAAGGAGGAGGCGATCCAGCTTTAGTTGATAAAATAGCTCGTGAACATCCTCTACCAGCTACTACTGGAAGAACTACTCCTCATCCTCTACCAGCTACTACTGGAGGAGCTACTCCTCATCCTCTACCAGCTACTACTGGAGGGGCTACTCCTCATGTATCAACTAGTTCAAAAGGTACATACAATGTATTTCTCAGCTTTTTGTCTACAGTCCACCTCAATGATTGTAGGACCCAGACGTTGTATTATGTTACCGTATAGCACAAAATTTTCAAGGGCTATAAATTTTGAAAACCTAAAAACCTATTTTGCAGATTTAATTTTTGCAAATTTATGCTGTCTGCCATTTTGTACCGATTTTTATGGAAGTAATTTTCACAAATGTTAAAAAATTGTGAACTTTACAGCCCTTGAAAATTTTATGCTATACGGTACATTGTACCTTATGCATTAAATATCAGTAGATAATAGGTGAAAAGTTCCATTCTCAGTAGTTAATGTCATTTGTATATTTGCATCTGAGTAACCAAGAGTTAAAATAGTTCGTATTATGCTACCTTGCCTAAACTGTAAATTTATCAAAACCACATAATTAATTTCCCTCTAAAATTACCAGCTACGTACAATGCAAGAAATAACATACTATAATCACTGAATTTGTATCATTAATATAGGTACATTTAGATCTGATATTGCTCATAGAGTAATGACAGAATGTACCTCATTAATAAAAAATTGTGGAATTGATATTCACTTATTGGTTGAAAAGTTGTTGGAACGCAAGATTATAAACGTAAGACAGAAGAGAGGAATAACTGATGGCTACACTAAACAAACTGCTGGTGAAAGAATGGATAAATTGCTCAACCTCATTTCAAGCCCCATTAGAGCGATTGGAGAAATATTTGGTATATTCTTAGACATACTCAGAGAGGAAGGTACTAGAAGAACTATTGCACTAGCTGATAAATTGCTACAAAAATATTATTCATTTGATAATGCTCCTGATCAAGTACAATTTGATGATAGTAAGTTAGTAAGAATTGCAGTTTATTGGGTGAATCTCACTCTAATAAAGTATTTCTCTATATGCATGCATGTGCACCTGGGCATGACAAGAAGGGAGAGCACCTCAATGTTCTGTAGTCTTCTAGTTTGGGCTAGCCTTGCATAGCCATGCCCTCCCTCAGCCTTAGGCTTACCTTAAGCCTACTATTATTTGCGTCTACTAATTTTAGCGAAATCAGCAAAAGTCATGTTTAGCGTTACTAATTTTAGCGTTTTTAACCAAATTAATAACCATTATAATGAATAATAATTATTTTGGCGTCTATTTAATTTAGCGGTTTAAAGCTCTCTCGCTAATATAGCTAAATTTAGTAGACGCTAAAAATAGTAGGCTTAAGGTAATTGGTGCCTACAGCATAGAAGTACCCTGTACTGAACTACTGTTCACTGAATTTGTATCATTAATAGGTACATTTAAATCAGATATTGCTTATAGAATAATGACAGAAAATGCGTCATTAATAAAGAATTGTGTGATTGATGTTAGTTCCTTAGCTGAGAAGTTATTGGAACACAATATCATAAATGCAAGAGAGAAGAGAGAAATAGTTTATGGAAATGCTGAGCAAAGTGATGGTGAAAGAATGGATAAAGTGCTCCACATCATTTCAAGCTCCATTAGAATGGATGAAGAAGTATTTGATATATTCTTAGCTATACTCAGAGAGGAAGGCACTAGAAGGACTATGAAACTAGCTGATAATTTGCTACAGGAATATTGTCCTAACCAAGTACAATGTGATAATGGTAAGCATTTTAGCATGTAGCAATACCAACATTGATTTAATAAAAATGCTAAATTAAAATAGTATAGCAAGCTAAATAATTTAAACCATGACAAACTTATCTAAATATTATTTGAAGTTTAGTATAGTGTGATTAAAGTATTAACAAGAGTACATGATGGGTTGGAGAGAGTGTCTAACCATAGTACTGTAGGCTGCTACATCACAGTGTATTGTTCTGTATAGTTTACACTCACTTTAGCACCTTCTTTACACTATTAACAAGAGTGAGTCCATTTTGGGTGTGTTATATGGCCTTTTGTAGCCTACAACTAGGCAAAAACTATCTCCAAGTTAGCTGTGTATCTGGAGCATACTGCATGACCAATGGTTTTGCTATGTAAACTGTAAATAAATAAATTTGTTTAATCTTGGAAATTAGCTGGATACTCATAAAACACTCTACGCCGTGATGTAGCAGCCTACAGTGCTATGGTTAGACACCCTCTCTAACCCATCATGTACTCTTGGTATTAATCAATCCCCATAAAAGGTCCTTTTTTGTTTTAGATGCTTTATCTAAATGGTTACAAGAAGGCGAAGTCAATCTAACTGTTAAACGTGTCCAAATGCTTGGTCCTCCTGGCTCTGGTAAAACATGTACTCGACGTCTCTTACTGAATGAAGATCCACCCGAAGAAGCTCTCACTGACAGCACACCAATAGCTTGTCGTGCTGTCAAAGCTACAAGAATATCAGTTGCAGATGGTTGTATGAAAGAAGTTGATGCTAAAGCTCTACTTTCAAGATTAGCGTGTGATTTAAAGGAAGAGGTATCAAAACAAAAGGAAGCACCAATAGACATCAACTATGACACATGTAAATCAAAAGAGGAGTCTTCAGAAACCATTTCTACTGATAGTCCTGAGACTAAAGCAACAGAATCAGCAGATCCAACAGAATCAGCAGATCCAACAAAATCAGCAGATGCAACAGAATCAGCAGATGCAACAGAATCAGCAGATGCAACAGAATCAGCAGATGATCCTGACGCGAATAAAATGCGTAAAGATATTGTTGAAGCCATTCCAACTGCAAAAGCTAATTTAAATTGTAATTGGGTATACATTGTTGATTCTGGTGGCCAGACTGCATTTCAAGAGTTATTGCCTTTGTTTACTAGACCTGCTTCTCTTAACATCGTCACACTAGACCTTTCGAAAGATCTTGATGAAAAGCTTGATCTACAATATCGAATTGATGGAACTTCATATCCTTGTGATTCAGAGTTTTCGTATTCAAATATTGAGTTTTTGAAAGATGTTCTGTCTTCTGGAACTGTTTCACAGCCTTATCACAAAAAGTTCCCAGGATATTTTGTTCTGGGCACTCACAGTGATGATGATAAAGCAACACCAGAAAAGATTAAAAAATATAATGAAGAGCTGTCATCATTAACATCTGGGTCTAAAGCAGAAAAAGGCTATCGCATCATTCCTGCCAAACTTGGTGAAATCATATACTCAGTCAATACAATGCTCAAATCTGGTCCTGACAGACGAAAAATATCCAAAAAGCTTTGTGATATAATACTTCATGATAGGATTTCTAATGATACATTGAAGATGCCAGTGCGATGGTTTGCTTTTGAGCTGACTTTGCTAAAGAAAGCAGGAAATGGCAGCTGCCTCAAGAAGCATGATGTCTTATCTATTGGTAAGAGCCTTGAAATGAAGAAAGAAGATACAGAGCAGGCTTTACTGTATCTGCACAATGCCACCATTATTCTTTATTATCCTGAAGTTTTACCAGACATAGTATTTGTTGATCCTCATCCTATTCTCGATACTCTATTGCGCCTATTAGCTCTTACTTACAATATTGATGTAGCTCATTTGCATCTCCTTACAAAGGCAGGGGTAGATATATTAGATTCTGATGATCTAAGTAAACTAAGGAAAAGAGGAATATTCACTAAATCACTGCTGGATATGTTAAATGGTGACCAGGGATTTTCTAAGTCTGATTTTATCAAGCTTTTGCTTCACCTACACATCATTGCCAAGACAGAAGATGGTTATTTCATTCCTTCTGCACTGCCTCCTTATACTGGTCCTCCTCCAGAATCAGATGTAACTAACCCATTAGTAATAGTATGGCGCAACCCTGTCACTGAAGAAATTTTACCTGTTCCCCGTGGAATTCTCTCTCTAGCAGTTGTCAATTTAAGGACATTCAAGCAACCAGAATTTCGTTTTCCTACCAAAGACACTTCGACACATCAAAAGTATTTAAGATGTCGAGATGCTATGTCATTTCGTGTTTTTGTTCACAAGGAGAAAATTGGTACCATTCATCTCATTAAAAAAAAACAAATGCATTGAGATTTATTTTAAAAGCAAAGTTCTAAAACACTGCCCACTTATTCTTGAAGCAGTAACAGAAGCTATTAACAACAGTAGTGAGGCCATTAACTTAAAACCTGACGGTCATGAGTTTGCCTTTGCCTGCTGTTCAAAAGACTGCTACTGTATTGTCATGAATGAAGCTGAAGAGAAAGTTGAATGCTTATGTGATGAATCAGCGATTATCAGTGGGCAAGAGAAGTACTGGAGTTGGTTTCATGTTACTTACCAGAACCCTGCAACTGAAGGTAATTTAATTAATTACAAATTATTTCCTTCCTTCTCATTATTTTATTGTTCTGGCTGATAATTTTGACTTATATTTTTAATATTTTATTTTATAGGTTCAAAGTTACTTGATATCAAGGATCTTAGAGAAATATTGAAATTACTCAGAGAAGGTCACTTTAATGGGGATTGGGAGGGACTTGGTATAGAGTTAGGCCTTTATCAACATCCAACACTCTCAAACATACAGCACAATTGCACCAAAGAAGGAGAAGCTGCTCTTAGAAAATGTCTTACTGCCTGGTTGCAAAGAGTTGATGCCGTAGATGAAAATAGTGGAGCAACCTATGCCTCTCTTGCTAATGCTCTTGACACATTAGGTCAAAAAGCTGTAGCTGATCATATACACAGTAAGTTAATGATGATACTGATAATAAATCCATGAGGGAGATAATTATAATTTCTAAATTATATTGTAGGAGAATATCAAATTCACTCTCCACAGCAAGAAACCAAAATTAGTATGTTGTTTCATAATATGAGATTTATCTATTTTGTTTTATTATAATCATTTTAGTACAAGGCACTCCTCATATTTTGGACATTATTTATATAAGAGACGTACGTTCGTCATTAAAGAAAGGCAATTTTAATGACTCCAAATGGCGTGATCTTGGTGCTCAATTATGTTTACTTCCTGATACTTTGAAAACTATTGAAGATGATCATTCTGGTATTAGTAGACGTCTCAGGGAGACACTTGTAAAATGGTTGAAAGGAGCAAATGATGTTTCACCTTCATGGGGTTCGTTAGTCAAAGCTCTTGAAGCTATTAAAGAAAATGAAGCAGCTGAACATATAAGTGAGTGAAACTTACACAATGTTACCAGTCTAGACTTACACTGTATTTAGGATGCAAGTGGATTAAAAGAAAACATACATGAAATTACCTGTTACGACAACTGTATATAATATATTTTCGGCAATGCATTTTAAATGTGCATTAATAAATAAAATTAAAATTTTGACACACAAAAATAATTTAGAAAAATGTTCCTGCAGAGAGGACAAGTTGGACAACTGCTCTTGTTACTAGTATTGAACTATTTATACTGAAAGAACATAATAAAATAAATAATAACTGAACAAATAAATGTAATATCTAATCACTGTATCAACCCTCAATAAAATACATGTACTACCTTACCAGGCATGACATGGAATCTCTTCTTGCAAGTTCTATATAATATTTTAGGTAGTGAATAATTAGGTTCATGAATGATACTGAGCATATCATGCAGTCATCCAAACCAGCAAAAGTTTATCAAGATTACTCTTCCATAATAATAATCCTTCCAATATAGAAACCATCATCTAATGAAGAAGAGAGAAAGGAAATGAGATACATGTACATAATGATATTATACCAAGAGGGTAGTACTACTGTATAGCAAAATTTTTAAGGCCCAAAAATTTCCCGAATTCATTGAAAAATCAATTTTGTGGTTTTAATTTTCACGATTTTCTGCCTTTTGACCATATTAAATTGATTTTTTTTTGCAAATTTTATTTTCATAAATTTTTAATAGATCACAAAATTCACAAAAGTTTTGGGCCACAAAAAATTCTAGCTATACAGTATTAATACACCTACTCACTTGATTAGCAAGAAACGAACTAAGCTGTAGTAGCCATTTCCTTCACAATGAGAGATCAACCTTCTTTAATGGTAGGAGGTGATAATAGATAGTTATCAGGTATACACACAGTCAGTTCTATACTGGACTCATCTACCCTGTACACTATATTAATCTCACTAACACCACCACAAACCCTAACCTAATAGTAGATAGTGTATGGGAGTATTTGTATAGGGAAAGGTATGAATGTGTAGTGTGTGTGTACATGCATATGTACATGTATGTACATGATTGTAGTGGGGAAAGGAGAGATGGAGAGAGAGAGGAAACTAAATCAATCATTAACAATTAAACATACAATATCTATACAACATTAGATTAGGCATTGGATACATATAATACAGAGGTACATGTACATGTATTAACCTCAAGGTTTCCTATTTTAGTATTCAAGGACATGCTCTCAGCCTCTTGCCTCCATAACCTTCGACTTACATGTTTAGCTGTAAAACTATAAATAAAAACAAAAATAAATAAAAATAATAAAAAATATACATACATGTACACATAACACTGACTTTTGTGCACAGATGATTACTATGAACATGCACATTAATGATTGGCAGATTGCCAAAATGCTATATACAACATGTACATGTACATATGTTGATTTATCATTGTACCTGCTTATTATATTGCTTTTTTATCTGTTCAGAGTTAAGTACCATTGACTTGTCTTAATAAATGAGGAATGTATTGAGCAACAGACATATACAGGGAATTTGGATAATAATGATAATGAGCATGATAATGATAATGATGAGGACTGATAGTGACAGAACACATAAAACAAAGACTAGTAGCACTACTCCTCTCATCATTGCTATCAAACTACTTTTCTTATGACTAAAAGAATTTATGACATCATCAACTGCATGGTGACACAGACAATAAAAAGTATATCGCACACTTACAGCAATTGGCAGCTTAAATCATAATAAAATACTCTTTTGATAATAATTTCAGATCTATCTAATGTATGAGTCTAAAAACTGTAATAAAACCAAAAATGCTATAGTGTAAACAAACAAGGCAGTGTCCCAAAGGCATAAGCAGTGTATTCAATATATGTGATCATGATTCAGTTGGAAGGTTGAGTCATTGGAGACAATGAGATATGGAGCCAATGGCATAATGAGAGCATTGACTGATGCAACCAAATCACTGAACAATGGCCTGTCATCAGGAGACTCACGCCAACACTGCTGCATCAAGGAATAACTATATACAGCAAAACATATCATACAGCTAATAATAATTATTATGCATACACATCTTCTGAGCAGGCTGCATTATGAGGACAACTTAACCTTTGCCCACCATCCAATAGTTCCACTAATCCTGTTGGATCCATACCAGGGTATGGTATTTTCCCAGCACTAAAGACTTCCCAACATAAAATACCATAAGACCACTGTATGTGTGAGAATTGAATTATACTAGATCTAATAATATCATTTAAAACTGACCACGTCTGATTTTTCAGAGAATATTCCATAGTAGAGACTTTCAAGTGCCATCCATTTGACTGGGAGTTTAACAGATTTTGACTCTTTAAATTGATTAAAGTAATTTTTTGTGTAAACTTCTTCCGATAGGCCGAAATCAGCAACTTTGATGACACCATTATCAGCAATCCTATGATAATTAAAGTTCAAAATTTAGTCACAACTATACTAAAATTGAAGTAGTGAACGTATTTCTATTGGTTGTTATACTTACAAGCAATTACGAGCGGCAAAATCACGATGAATAAACCTTTGTGAAGCTAAATAATTCATTCCATTAGCAACTTGAAGACACACAGAGAGCAATTGTTTCCTAACATTTAGCACTGTGCTTTCTTCACTGGTTTCTCCCACTATAAGGTGAGATTTCTCTTTCTGCAAGTAAGACAATAGACTTCCTCTTGACATATAAGGCAAGATAATGCCTGGAGCTGATCCCAGGTCAGCACACACACCAATGAGAGACAGCACATTAGGATTATTAAAGTTTGACATTAGTAGGCACTCTTCAAGAAGAGAATTGACATCACTTTTTGAAAATGCTCCTAAATTTATTCAAATTTTTTTATTAGTTATTACGTACACTATTATATACTCTTCGTATGACTTGTACCTTTGAGTGTTTTTAAAGCAATTTCTTGTCGACTTTTATCCATTATTATAGTTGCTTTATAAACAATTCCAAACTCACCTAATGCATGCAAACAGTGTTAATGTTTATACTGACCACTAGACTATGTTAACCTTGGCCAATGGTTTCTTGTATATCAATCTGTGAAGACGGTATTAAATATTTCATCAACAACTGCTCAATAACAGTGTCATCTGTAGATGTATCATCTTTTTGATGATGTACTTCTTTAATTCATAATAAATTTCTATCACAATAAAAAATTTACTTTGATAAGCTGAATTCAAATCCAGAGGAATTCTGGAGGCGTCTATAAAGGGACAGATTGTCTACATAAAAATCAACTTTACTAACCAACAAATCTCGAGTTCAAATCCAAACGTTCCTTTTCTCTTTTCCTCCTAACAATTATCACAATCACAAATACTATGATAATACAAGCACAGAGTACTAGCACAAATAAAACAGGAGCTACAATTATTAGTGTTAATAATAGTAACTGAGAAGTTTCAGTTGAGGGAAGATTCGTCACTGATGAATCAAGTGAAGAAGAAACTGATTCATAAAGGTCTACTGATGATAAAGAACCTATAGAGAAAAAGGGACATGTATAACTGATTTACACTTACTTGCTGCCTTACATTCACACTCATTTATTTCATATCCTAATTGACACTCAGTACAACAACTGGAGTTTAGACACCTTGAACAATTAGGCACTGCACATGAACCTAGTAGTGTTGTATTGGTATACCATTACTAATACTAGAAGTATTTTGGTACTGGGTCATAAAATTTGGTATATCATAACTTAAAACTAATACTAAAAGTATTAAAATACCATAACTAAAACCAATACTAAAAATAGCACAAATTGCTTTACTAAAATTTATAACTAATATTCATTTCTATGCAATACATTTGGTACAACAATGTTCACTGAAGGGTAAACAGATAAAATTGATATCACTAGATTATCATGTGCAAATTCATGAAGCAAATGTTATGTGTAGCTATCTTAGTTGCAAAATGGCAGTGGAAGACCAAGGAACAGTAATGTATGGGACACTACACTTATGATGCAGAACTAATACAATTAATTTTAATACAATTAAATCATCATTAGTCTAAGGTTAATAGTATGACTAGAGTAAGTTTTGTTAAATTATATGTACTTACTATAATCTACCAAAATTAATATTCGTTACCAATACCAATAGAGTTTTACTTTCGGTAAAATTACTAAATTTAATATCTATAAATCATGAGAATTGGTGAAAATACCATAACTAAAACCAAATCCAAAATGTGATACCAATACAACACTAGAACCTAGTAACATTAATGATATGAATAATAAACATAGTCCTTTTACCACAGGTACATCCATCAGGATTCAAATAGAAACCAGATGAACAAGTTTACAACAAGATGAGTTTTGACAATTATCACAGTTTGAAACAGTACATGGAAATATAGTTATTAAAGAGTTATAGATCTAGTAATACAATTTTTGTTTATCACTAGAGAATAAGAGGAAGATAGAAAGAAACACAGTGAGACAAAAAATGTGTCAATTTGTAAAGTCACACAGCAACACCAATCCCATCATTGACCTTAAAAGGTAACAATAATAATATCACTCACCAGTACAGTTGACTCTCTGGTATCCAGTACCAGTACAATTACAAGTATAATTATCAGGAGGTGAATACTGTATACACTGTCCTCCATTCATACATGGACTGTCTTTTTCACAGATACTAGTAAAATCACAGCCAGTACAATTAGAATTAACAGTATAACCAGCAGAGCAGGTTAGATTACAAACTAATAATAAATATAAAGTTGAAAAATAAGTAACGACCAGAAACATACTGCAAGTGAAGTTATTACTCTCAGTAGCAACATAGTTAGAACCTAATGATGATGCACAGTCAGTGGTAGAAATACACTGACCGTTAGCAGCAAATGATAAACAACAATCAGTATCACCTTCTCCAGTACACTTCATCAGTCCAGAATTACAAGGGCTGTTACACTCTATATAACAAAAAATGAAATATTCATTTATGCTTCAGTGTATATGAATCGTGTATTGTGTATGTGCCGTTATATCATAGACCAGTTGATCATTCAGCATTAGACAATGTCCTATACATATGAATAATGCTATAGTTACAATCCTTAAACTTATTCATTTCATTGGGAAAGCCAGGATGAGGCTAAAAGGGAATATCACAGTAGCTAAAAATAAAGAAAACAATCAGGTGGTACAAAAATTTATCAAAGCACAATATGACCCTGGTACTCCTGTTAAATAAAAAGAGTAAGGATCAGGTGCTTCCTTAAATTCAAACCCAATTTATTTTAGCTGCTTTTACATAGCATAGTAACATGAGCTCTTGCATGTGCTGTATTAAAACTGTATACTGGATGTCTACATGTAACTGCACATGATGTTATTTGAATATG